TCAGCAGGACCTGGCTCAGGTCAGGAATCAGCAAGCCCATGATGATGGTGTTTCATCTGTTTTCTCTGCTCTTGGTGTGTCAGGCTCTTTAGTAGCACAGTGGAAGTTACTGTAGTGGAGTTCCTGGAGGAACACATTTCTCCTCCTAACTTGAGGACCTACAGGCTAATTCTACACTGGGGGGTGAAGAATGGGCTTAGGAGTAGGAGAAAGTATCCCAGTCCCCTTCACTTCGTGTCCATGTTGCTGGGTCTTAGCCTGGCAATCATTCAGACTTGAGGCGAGACTCATCTCACGCAGCACCAGCTGTATGCAGTGCCTGGTTTTGCTGATCTTTTTCTAGGTGTTTACTTTTGGGTGGAATGGTTCATGCAGTGTACACACATGTTTTTGTCAAGTACATATTTAGGGACTTGAGGGTGACTAGGTCAGATATGAGTGTCAACAATTTGGACATGTTTATGTGGCCGAGTAAATTCTACTGAAAGGCTGTTTCTGTACTAATAAATGAAACATGCCTGATACTGTTCTTAGCCTTGAGACCAACTGGGATGGAGAGGCTTGCTTCCATGCAATGGCTGTCTCACCCTCCAAAAGAGTGTGGCTCTATGCAGACTTCTTGTTAGGAGTGACCTCTGGTCCCTGCTAACTCCTGAACCATGCACAAGAGATATTTGGGAGAGTGCTACTGGCACAGACCAAAGCCATTCCAGATACTGTGGTAATACTTTATGCTATAGATAATCAAGTTCCCATGCTCAGAAATGTTCCCCAGCACTAGCATAGCCATAGCTAAGGTAGGCACCCTATGTTTAGGGAGAATGGAGCAAGTGGACTGGGCTGAAGCATTTCCAGTCCCACCTTCTCCTGCAGACCATAGAAATGAAAGGGTGGGTCCATGCTCACATGCCATATGTCTTCTGTCTCTCCCCTAAAGCAAGCTTCAGATCTTAAGCTCAACTCAGCAATGGAATAAAGATTTACAGCATGGAAGATTGACCATGTTTGGTCTTGACCAGTCACTTACCTGACAGATAGACAAAGCCTTCCTTGTAGTCCCAGAGGAGGGAATCATATTAGGGATGTACCCTGAATGATACCAACTCACACTGACGATAGCGCATCATATTGTCACTGGGGGAGATAAGGGCGACCAGACCAGAACTTCCATCATGGTATGGCCTAGGGCTTGATAAGTGTGGTGAGCTTATGGATCAAAACTGTAACACTTCCCTCCCCCCATGCCACTCTCAAGTGATGAGCATTGAGAATCGTGATGGATCATCAGCACAGAAAATACATCAAACGCAGTTTTGAAACGTTTCAATGCTGGAAGTTTCCAGTTGGGTAGGCAGGTTGCCTGTTACAAAAGGCATACAGCTTAAGCAACTACTGTCCTGAAAGATTGTTAAAATTAAATTGTGAATTGACATCTCTATCATTACAGCCCTGGAGCAGAGTGTCTGCCTAGGTATTTCATAATGGAGTATCTAAGCCTAGCAACACATGGCTGAGGCTGCTGAATAATATGCAGTATTATGTAATTTAATAACATTAAACTAGGATGTTCTGATAATAATATTATTTGAAAGCTGTTTAGTTTATTTAATTTCATTTATATTTTGTATGTCAGTTGAATTCAGGGAAAAAAAGATTTTAGAAGAAACTGGGGGGAGCGCAGTGGGAAATTGTGCAATGTACTTATCTGAGACTACATCACATGGTCTGCAAAGGACGGCGTTTGCTTTTATACACATAGTCTTGGCGACTCTCCCACTAGCAACAATAGTGCTCAGACTCATACTGATGTCACTGTTGAGTTATTTAATTTGACTGAACGAGATTAATGTGTTTATTTAAAACCTTGGTCAAAATGGAAAAGAAAATCTCAGGACAATACTTTTACGTGAACATGTATGTTTTCATATCTGATGATTGTAATGTTGCATTAACTTATCAGGGGCAGTTGTTTACACACGCTAACGCCCGGGAGACCCCCTCAGATAAGAAGTGTGAGCCATTTTCCCTCTCAGCCTGGAGCAGAGACTTCTACACCACTGCTGGTCCTGTGGGCTTTCATCCCAGGCTCTCCTCACTTCCTGCTGCTGCTTTCAGGGCTGATCCACAGAGATACCAGCACTGTTTCATTTTCTCGCGTGAGGATGGGGTTGGTAGTGCCAAGCAATGACAGCAGTGCGGTGGTGGATCCTCCCCAAGTTCTCACCAGGACAGCGAGGGACAGACACCTCCACTGCACAGGATGCCTAGATGGGGCTGGTGCTGGGCTCTGTAGGCTGAGCCTGCTCCCACAAAGGCTGGAGACTGCCTGCCTAAATTTCATCCACATTATGTTTTACAAGCAGCTTGAGAGGTTTTTTTCCTGTGATAAATAATTCTGAACTTATTTCATTCTCACATGTACCCTCTAAGTGTTTGGAATAGACTTCAGTATTGACTAAGAGGCATTAGTAACTATCCAGTTAAATGCTCCAGGTCATTGGATTTTTACTAATACAGAGCGGTGAAAAAATCTGGAATCTGAAGCTTCTCTTTGCGTGGTGGGACAAGTTTGGGCAGTTCTGTGGAATCGATCATTGATTGCTGAATAGCACGAGTGAGGGGATTTCTGCTGTGCTCTGTCAGGACCCTCTCTTGACAGTTGAGGACAACTGGACAGATACATACATTGATAATGTAGAAATTGCATAAGCCAGAGCTCAATGCTGTGGTGGGTGCCTGAAGCAAGGTGTGCCTGCTCTTCCTTCCAGTTTTGTAGTCCCTCTGTTCATATTTTCATGCAGCCTCCTGTCTGCTGGTGCTCGAAATATGAATCTCCTGGGGGAATAGCAGCTGCTGCGGGGGCTTGTGACGTGCCAAAGAGTCGCTTTTATGCTTTCTCTTCTGTGGGGCCAAGTGCTTCCATCTCCCTAGCTCTGTGGAAGGCTTTTGGGAATTTGAGCCCCTGCCCTCATCATTGCTGTTCTCATGGAGGAAGGGAAAAATCTCCTTATGTTTACATGTATCTGCATTTCTCAGGGTGCTGGGGGTCTTAAAGGGTGATGCAGTGAAGCAGAGGAATGGATATGAGAAAAAAACAGAAGGGCTAGGAGGAAAACAGTGCTAGGCGGTCATTGGTCCTCAGCAAACATCATTGCACATTGTCTAAGAGGCTCTGATGCCCTGGGCCATGTGTGCTTACCCTGCAGCATGCTCCAGAGCTCTGTGGTGCCGAGGAACCAGTCTTTGGGATTGGCCTCCTGTCTCAATATGTTGTACCTGTGCCTGCACTTGGTGTCCCCAAGTGGCCTTTGAACTCTTACAAGAGCTGTGCATTTAAGGAAACCGCAGAATAATATGGTTTGTGAAGCCCTGCTGCTCCCAACACCGGGCAATATCTCTCTGTCTCCTCAGTGGCTGCATATAAGTGGTGCTGAGGACTATGTCCAGGCCTTTACTGGTGGGGGGTCAAGAAGGACCCAGGTCCTGCCACAAAGGTGGAGTAGGGCCGTCTTGGAGCTGGTTCTCTGGAGGCATCCATTTAGAAGCTGCCCCCACCTCCTGCTTTAACTGCCCTCTGTATAGTTCAGATCTTTGGACTTGGTATGCACAGGGGGTCCATGAAGTATATTTAAAGCAGTAAATAGCTTGACATACAAGGACGTTTTTCCTCAGAGTTCCAGTCAGTGGAAACATGTCATTTTCAGCTAAAATTAGACTGGCTCCAGCTGCATTTAAAAGAAAAGAAAAAAAAAAAAAAGAAAAACCCTCAAGAACTAAACTCTTTCTGTTGGACTTTGTCAGATGTAGCAACTCCTAGCAGAAATAACTCAGGATTCATCCAGCACAAACCGTGTCCAAAAGTCTGTGTTTTTCATCCAAAAAACTTTGAATTGTTGGAGAGAGCGAAACAGACTGGCTAGGCAAACAAGGTTTTCTCTTTCATATGAGACAATGTAAATAAGCTTAGAGAATAGCGATAGATCTTTCAAAGCCACTAAATGAAATCTGTGAGTAGCTGAATTTTAAATTAATTTTGCAGTTAATATTTTACAACTCTTGACAGTCGAGTGAGATTGTAGGGGCAGAGAGGGAGTTGAAATCAGAAAAATATTCTGCTTGTTACTTCCATAAAATTTGATATTACAGATTTAATTTTGTAGAAGATGCTTGAGCTGAACCTACAGCTACCAGCATAAAAAAAAAGGTACATTTTCTTTTGTAGTAAATATAACCCCAACCCTGCAACAATTTGCCTGACTGGATGCTTAATGCTTTCCGAGGTCCAACTCTAAAATGAGTGTGGAGGGTAGTGGGGAGGAGAGGCTTGGACCCAAAATAAACAGCAAAAAACAAACAGAAAACCATTGAAAATTAAATACACATTTTGAATCATTTCTCTCTCAAAAGATTTTATTGAAGGAACAATGAAAGGAGTGTGTGAAGCCTAATGATGTATTGTGTTGTTATTCCAGGCTTCATCAGCAGTTTCTTGATGTTTGGAAAGTTCTGAGACCCACCCTATTGGACTACTTGTAACCAGCGCCTAAGACTACAAAAACGTATGTGTGGAAGAACCTTTCCTTGAAGGAAGCGTCCATCTCAATATTGTGGAAACTCCGTGCAAGCCTTGCAAGGCAGGAGCGTGATTTGTGCTTCCGTTGACATTCGTGTGTAATCTCTGCTTCTTATGCACTCCAGCACCCCTATCAGCTCCTTGTTCTCCTTCACCAGCCCTGCAGTGAAAAGGCTGCTGGGCTGGAAACAAGGAGATGAAGAGGAAAAGTGGGCAGAAAAAGCTGTTGATTCCTTGGTGAAGAAGTTAAAAAAGAAGAAAGGTGCCATGGAAGAACTGGAAAGGGCTCTGAGCTGCCCAGGTCAGCCCAGTAAATGTGTCACGATCCCACGTTCCTTGGATGGGCGACTGCAGGTGTCTCACCGCAAGGGGCTTCCCCATGTCATATACTGCAGAGTGTGGCGCTGGCCTGATTTACAATCTCACCATGAGTTGAAACCACTGGAATGTTGTGAGTTCCCATTTGGCTCAAAACAGAAAGAAGTATGCATTAACCCCTACCATTACCGGCGGGTGGAAACCCCAGGTAATTATATCATCTGCAAATGATTCACATCTCTCTATTAGCTCTTGCAGTGGCTGGTCTAGTCTTGGTGCATCCTACCAAGTTCTGCTTTGAAATCTGAAAAGGCAGGCTCCATTTGCTGGAAGGACCCTGGGTCTTTCCACGCCTGGTGGCATCACAGCTCCAGCAGCCGGGAGTAAGGAGCACCTTGCCCCGTGGGGTCCGCGTCCCATCAGACCCCCGAGGGCGCATGGATCTTGTCCAGGGTGCTGAAAGCAAGCTTCCTCTCCGTGGTTGTGGGTTCTGGCTGCCCTCTGAACCCCCCTTCTGCAAACTGGTGTCCATTTGCATGAAGTCTAGGCACCATCCTAGACTTACCACTCTGGCTAGATTTATGACTCATTGTCTGAAAACCAACAATCGACTCATTAGTCCACAGGAAAAATGTATCACTAGCTCTCTCTTTAAAGATTAGAGTTGCAGTAAGATGGCTTATTTTGCTGTGGATTTGAAACCAGGTCAGTTGATTCTTCCTAAAATGCCTGGTGGCCTGCCTTCGGTGGGACTTATTTACCTGAATGGATAGTTTATGTGAAATAAATCCCCCAAGTTCCCATAAAACTTTGAATTTTTCCACTGATGATCATCTTTAGACTGGACTTGGTCAGCACTGAAAACTTATGACTTCACTGAAGGGTCGTTTAATTGGGCTTAGTGTCAATGAAACAGCTGTTAGAAAATTATAGTGTTCAGTGTTGACTTCTATAGGGATCTTAGAAAGTAGGACTGGCAGATATCTTGAGCAGTCCTCCTGTTCTCCTCTGTCCCTATTCCCAAACCAAAACAAATTACCAGGTATATTCCTGACAGATGTCTTTCTAATGAGCTCTAAAAATCCCATGTGATAGAGGCTCCACAACCTCCCCAGGCAAATGAATCTATTGCTTTGCTATCCTTACAGTTCAGAATGATTTCTAATGTCTAACCTAGCTCTCCCTTGCTGCCAAAAATCACAGTAATTTAATTTACTAATGGATATGGTTGGTAAGTGTACACTTGTTATTCTGTGATTACTCTTTGTCTGGCATGAACTTTACTCCGAGGTGACATTAGGATCAGATGAGTGAACTGTGGGATGTTTCTTTTCACACAGATGAAATAAGGGAAGGACATTTGTTAACATTTGTTAAACAACAGGGTCTGCTCCCTTTTCTGATAGTCCTTCCACTGCAGCGGAGCTGTCATTTTGAGGCTGTATCTGAACTGCTGTAAACATTGTCACAATTAAAATTTCACAGCTGCAGTGAGTGGTGCTTGTTGTCAACAGTTTTCAGTGAAAAGAGCTGATCTCCTGCCTTGCTAAAATAAACTTTTCAAGAATCTAAGAAAAGATGCTCGTAAAATATCCCATTTTGTGTACCTTTCTCTCTGAAGGCTGCAGCCTGTAGTGTCTTCTCATTTCTTCTGGTGTAACTCCAGTGTAGTTAATGGAGTTTCCTTAGCACGGTAGCTGACAGCACTGCACAGTGCTGTTTTTAACCCCGGTCTTCTGATCTGTTCAGTGCCAGCTAACGAACGCTAGAACTGGGATAATTCAGCAGCTGCTAAATGGCTGCCAAAGCTTGTTGTTCTGACCCTGGAACTCAGAAGGTTTCAGCTGTGAACGTGTGTCTGTTGTTTGTCTGCGCAGCAGACTGGCTACATCTCTACTAGTAAATGAGACGGGGCCAAGGTGCAGGTCTGAGTATTGCTGAATTGGTAGTGTGCTCCCGGGCACAGCTTTGACCCATGTGGACTCGCATGGACTAGCAGTTCTCAGGATGCAGGGGTTAGCCCACAGGAGGGACTTTGGGCACTTCGGACATGAGCACCTTGTTTTGGAGGTGAAAGAGAGCGCAGCTGTGAGGATGCAAGCTGTGCCATGCCAGTTCTCCACAGGACCCAGGAATTGTTCCTGGGCTGTTGTATTCATCCCTACCGCTCTTTTTGTGGGGACAGCTTAGAAGCTGAAGCTCACAAGTGAGTCACCCCCCTGCTAAAGATGCGGTACAGCAAGAAGTACAACCTACTCAGTTGTGCTGGGGCAGTGGCAGGAGAGGTAACTTACACCACTGCAAGTGGCAGTAATGCAGCTCCAGGGCAGAGGCAGTTGGAAAGCAGTGCTGCAAGGCGGTGGTGGTGAGGCAAGAGAAGAAATGAGCTTGAGGAGAAAGTGGTAGCAGAGAGATCACCACAGAAAAGGCTGGGAGTGATTGATCTGGGTGCCAGTCTATTTAAACAACACTCCTCTTTTAACTACAGGAAATCTTCTGCGTCTTGGCTGTTGGTGATCTTAGGCTTATGTGAGATTCTTTGAATCTCATCCTCTGGAGCTAAAGAATCCACCCATGAAATTAGTCAGCAGTGCATTTCTTTATAATCCACAAGCCAGTATTATTTTCATACAAATGTCCATCCTTTTGGGGCTCACTTTCCATCACTGCAATCTGTCTTGCTGAGTCAACTACTCTGTGACCAGATCCATTAACTTTTCTTCAGAATGAATGAGTTGTGTCAAAGATGGGAGGGCCTCATCCTTTCTTTAATGGCCTGGCAGATACCTAAACCTGTATTACTAGAGAGCAGCTTTAAGCTCTGATCTGAGATTCAGGGGTTTCATTGCCTCTGCTGTGTCCTCAGGCTGCCCAGCCACATCCTAGTCTACGCTGACCAATACTGCACAGATTATGCATAGCTTTTATTGCTGCTACCAGTGTCCCCAGCAGATTTCTTCTCAGGTCTGCTGAGCAGCAGGTGCCATTTAGAAAAAAGCAGCATATATTTGCTCTGTTTGTGCCACATCCCACTGCAGAGAGGGGTTAGGCCACATAGCCTAAAGGAGATAGGTATGGTGGATAGGCCCTGCTTCCCCCTTCATTGTTTTGCCTCGAAGAGCTGGTCAGAAGTCTAAATGGTTTGTTTTCAGGTGGAGCTGCAGTTTCAGAAAAATATAAAAGCTGCCTAAACGTTTACCCTATTATTTTTATACGAGATCATTCATGTGTAGATAGTGCAAATTCTAGTGTGCACCATTGCTGTAGACAGCAGGAGCCTAAATGGACTTTTCACTTAGACTAACTCATTGCTTTCATCAAGCCTGAGTGGGACTAAGATGTGGTAGCCTCCCAGTTGGAAGACCCTGATGATCTCCCTGTTGGCCATGTGTTTGGTGTTTGTGAATGGTCATGGGCATAGGGAACAGATGGATCTCACAGGAGGGTAGGTCTCCGAAGGTAGTAAACTCTGCAAAGATGGGCTGATGTGTGAGAAATCACAGGGTGGATGTTGTACCTGGAATTAAACTGTGAGGCAGATAGTTTGCTTGCTAGAACCTGAAGTCACAGGCGCTGGGCACAGCCAGGTTTCCAGCAAGAACTGTTGCAGTTAAAGAGAACAGGGGAAAGCCTAGTGCAGGAAAAGCAGTGGCAGGACTTGGGGCATGACTGTATTTGTCTTCAGTTGAACAAAGATCATCAACACTTGGGCATGCATAGAAGGAAGGATCTGCCCCTGGCTCTCGGTGGAGACTAGCAGGTAGAAGAAAAGGACTCCACTGAGTGGAGACAGTGCAGGTAAATTATGAGGACAGACAGGTCCCAATGCACTCAGCCACTCAGTTTCGTGCCTCTGGTCACACTTCCTTCAGAGTTGTTGAGCCCTGGAGAGTGACATCTGTTCCCAAAAGAGCAAGGAGAACAAGGCCCTCTGGGGAATTTTTAGCCACAAACAAGAAAATATCTGAATTCCTCACCACCACAGAGGCTTTAGCCCTCTAGGCAGCCATAGAGCAGTCAGTGGAAAGATTGAGTGAGGTGGCAAAAACTGTACAGCAGAGCAGAAATTAAAAGTACCCTGGTCAGAGCTGGGAAGGAGTTCAAGGCTTGAAAATTCCTCTTGCTGACTCACTCAGGGCGAGTCAAAGGCTTTTCCTGGCAAGTGCTGTTCGCACATCCAGATTCTCAGCTTTCATTTAGAGAAGGAGTTGAGTTCTCACAGGGCTGAAGAAAGACGCTTCTTTAGTGGTGGTACCCACAGCAAGGTGCCAACCTCCCAACGCTGCCTGGCATTGCTGTAGCACAGTTGTCCCTGGCTGGGTGCGAAGGGATCACCAGTGCCCCATTTTCTAGGGCTGCTGGTCAGAGCTGGCTGAGCAGCAGGAGACCTGGCAAGCATCATACCAGTTTCATGGAGCAGCAGAGGAAAACTCCAGAAGCAGCAGCAGCTCACAGTCTGGAGCTGCTCACAGGAGCATGGGGTGGGAGGGATCCAGCTTACCAAAACGACATCTGCAGTGGTGGTACTGGCCTTGTCCCAATATAGAGCAGATGAACTGAGCACTAAAAGAGTCTGTTTCTCTCCATTGGCTATGAAGATATTCATGGGGACTGGGCAGTGCATCTCAGATGTGAATACCTGTATTGCCTGTATGAGTCCTACCTGGGGAGTCTAGGAAATCCAGAAAGCTAAAGAAGCGGTAAAGAAGCAGAAATACCTTTCTCTACCAAAGGACTTAAGAGGGTGGCAACAAAATCTTCATCCCACAGGAAGGGGCATATCAGAGGCAGAAGGAAAGAAAGTAGTCTCCAGAGCACCATCCTTGTGCTGGACAGAAGCTAATTAGAAATGCGTTGGGCCAGGGAAGGGTCTGTGTATAGACTCTTAACAGGTATCCCAGTGCCTGTGTTTCCAGGCAGGTAAGAAGATAACTTCTGCAGTGAACTCCCTGTCATCAGTCCAATCTTTTCTATGTTTTTAGGGCCCAGTTCTTCAGTTCATGGGTGACTGGCAAATTCCCAAATGGTATATGCCAGTGGGTGGGCAGAAACATGGTATAACCCTGCTCCGGGTGCAGCATAGTGCTACGTCAAGCAAGAAGCTGTAAACCTGCCTTTGGTACCAGGCACTGGTCCTCCTCCTCCTGCTTAAATCGCCTCAGCTTTCTGAGCAATCAATGTGCACTGAGGGTGCACTCCAAGGAGGGTGTTCCTACAGCCTCTTCTCATGCATATGTTTTGCATTATCTATATATTAGTTGCTTTATAGCAATTATTCTACTCTTTCATTATGCTGGATAAATGAGAGTTCACTGTAATTAAAAGGTGTTAGCTAACCTACCTAAAAAGAATTGGCCTTACCTAGACAGAGCTTTTGGGCCCAAACAATACGTTAAAACACGTTCAAACCATATATTCCTGTCAGCATTTATAACCAAGAGCGCACACTGCTATTTGTTTCCATAAGCTAGTAAGGATAGACTGAAAGGTTACGCGCTGCTGGGTTTTAGGCCAGAAAAACTCTGGAC